CACTACTGGCATAACAACATATGGAACAATAAAAATAACAGGTGTTGGACAAACATAAGTAGAAAAATCAATCAAGGATTGAGGAAGGAATAAAAAAAAAAAAAAGAAAGGACAAGAAAAGAAAGGAAAACAGTAAAGAAGACACCATTAAAGTAGACAGGATTAAAGAAATGACATTAAAGATGTGTAAGCTAATCCATACTATCAAAACAACAGAAAGCAAGGTGGCTGTGTGTTGGATCAACCAATAGCACAATTGCTTTGAATTATAAAGCAATCAATCATACAAAAGTAGCAAAATTTATAATAAAACCAACCTCATCAACATAATATATTACAGTATTACAGATTTACAGTACACATCCATGAAAATTTAGTGGAGCTAAAGTGACGAATCTCAAAAAAGTTGATTTATTATTATTACTAAATTCATACTACTTGAAAGATGAAGATTCAAGAGGGTCAAATTGCAGTGTAACGCGGCAGAACGAAGACAGCTGCATCTGCTAGTATGAAGAAAACTTCATATATACTTCACTTTCAATTCCATCCCTCTAAAGTACATTTTTCAAGTAAAAGGGGGTACATACTACATTACTACATACTCGCTTTATTATTCTTCTCGTGTTATAGTCGATAACATCTATCAATCTCATACAATTTTCATTAACAACCTATCATCCAAATTATTCCAAACTCCAATATAATGTCACTGCCAATCATCAGAATAGTTCTGATCCTCTATTAGAGATTATTTATTCTCTATTATCCTTTAATTTATCCACATATAATCAATCAACTGAAAACCGCGAGGTTTCGAGATACAAAGTAAAACACTAAATTAACAAAATGGAGGATCTCAACTAGAATTCCTTTAAATCCTAATAATAATATGAAATCCCCCCTTTAAAATAAAGTGGCACGAAATATCTCCTCTTAAATAATCATAATATTAACCAATCCTAGTCTATCTCAACTCTCAACTACCTCTAACTAGTTTGAAAATGGCCTAAAAGAGAAGTCAGAAGAAGAATAAGACTAGTGATAAGTGGGGTTAGGTGCTCAAGGAGCGCAGCTTAAGTAACATACGTAGATTGTTCACACCTAAACATAATCCTTAAAATTAATACAAACAAAGCCCTTCTTCAGCTCCTTTTAATCGCAGCGTATTCTTTATCAGAAATATACAAAATACGGAGTTTCTTTTTTATTTGGTGTATGATTCTGTCTTTCTCATTATCAATTTCCTAATCAAGTCTATATCATCTTCTTAGAGAATAGAGATTGTACATCCCTGACGTTGCGATAATAGCGAACAGATGGTGTATGAAAGAAGTCTACTTTATCCATTAGTTTAAACATAATAATCAAAAATCAAAGTTTTTATTTTAAGGGGTAGTCCAATTTCTTTCCTTAACTTTCCCCTCTTTCAGGTGTCAACCAAAGCTTTATTTAGACAGACAAAGATCTTATAAAGAGATTTGGTAAAATTTGATTAGACAAAGATGTGCAACATGGAATCATTTTAAAGGGAAATTGTTTAATAATTAGAAAAGGAGAGTAATTAGCAACAAAAAAATGCCAAACTGCACTTACTTGGTTCTTTCTTTTCAAAGGGCCTTTTTTACGTGGGGTATTTATTAGGCAAAAGTCACATGAGTTTGGTTTTCAATCATAATAAAAACAAAAGCTAAGATTATACTTATCTTAAAGAGTTTACTTTAAGGATTTGATGATGCTAAAATAATAATAATACAGCATAGAACACCACAATATTGAAGTAGCTTAGAGAGACTTAGGCTTGTATTTACAAGAAGACTAGTACTCCACCTCACCTTCCCCGTTAACTTGTCGGCCACTTGTCATCATCGCCACTGTGTTCCAGATATACGACAAACACCCCCTCACATCTCCTTTCGACACGTGGGAGCGTCTCATTGGGCCGCGTTTTAGTTCCAACCTCTGACTAAAGTCATACAAATTCATTCAACCCAACCCAACCCACCTCAACGTCCGATTCTAAGTTTCTAACTAACAAGTGCTAAGATTAACTAGTACGAGATCATTGTAGTTTGTTTGAGAAATGCCTTCCCTACAATTGATGTCTAGCTTACTCGAGTTGGAAGTTAGTGTCAACTAGGCTCTAATAATTAAAAGCAAGTAATAGGTTAAACAGTTTCATAGTAAAGATAAAAGTTATTTCAATCCATTAGACCTTATATGACACGCTCTTTATTTTACCTCAAGTACACATATTAAATATTCGGTACCCAAATATATAGATAGGACACTTCAACCCTATAATATTAACCAAAATCATGCATGAAAGTTTGATAAAAATAGACAGTTCGAGGTTAGACACTTTAACATGTTATGTCGGACATGGATACCCGAGTCTAAAAAATATTTTACTCAAGTAATCACACCAGTAAATATACTGGTGTCAAAACATATACTACCTCCGTTACATATTATTTGCAACGATTAGACATTTCTCCTCTCTACTTTATGTCAAATCGTTGCAAATAATATGTAACGGAGGTAGTAATATAAGAAGGAAACAAAGAAAAGTCTGAGCTGCCAAAATAATATTAAAATGCAAAAGAGCAACATGAACCAAGTTAAGTGAGACACTTCAAATAGGTAAATTCTCATCAAATCTGAAGAAAATATACCACAAATCTCATCTAAATAATTGATTTGTGGTAAAGAGAGAATACTCTGACATGCACATACATACTTTTGATGATGAATATTAAAAAAAAAAAAAAAAAAAAAAAAAAAAAAAAAAAAAAAAAAAAACCTTAAAGTTTGAGTGCAAACTGATGAGTATCCCACCAAATAATAGCTATATTTAAGTAAATAAGATTAGGACTAAAGAAGATGCATGTTGTAAGTACAACCACTACCATTAGAATATTTGGCAACTGGCAATCTATGAGAAGATAACACAAATTATAAACAAACAAATTAATACATTACATTAATCTGTAATTAGTCAGAGGCTTAATAAGTTAGGACACAAGTATGCTTCCCTCTAGGAATATAATTAGCAAAATTGTACTATCTTTGATTATACTAATTAGTTATACATCTTCTGACAATGAACGAGGAATCAGAAGATAAACAAACCCATCAGCATGCACTGCCCTATTGCAGTACTATATGTCAGATGCATTATTTGACACATGGCTTTGCCCGATTCGGCCACATTTTCACTTGTTATATTTTATATGCATGGAAATTGGAAATGATGCAATACAAGCAAATGATAATATATACACTCTTAGATACAAGTATGTTTTTCTAGTAGTTTAATGGTGTACATGATGGTGCTTTTTCAGATCTTTCGAGCTAGATAGAAGGGTGATTTTGGAATGAAAACATATTATTTGGTTTTTTATTGTTATTTTTTTGGAAATCAGCTAGGAGTTCCTTTACAAAAAAGTTTATGTAATACAAGTGAACATTGCAAATCTTAATATTAATGATGAAGTAAATAAAATGGTAATAGTAATGATTTAATGATTGGTTATCTAAGATTAAGCATAGACACATAGCACATAATTTTGACTCTTGATTAAACACATGGTGATTTATTCTAATACTCCGTATGTGCAAGAAATAAATTTGAAAAATTTCAAGGCAACAAAAGAAGTGGGGAGACAAAACTGAAACAATGAAATTTCCTGGACAAAGACCTTAAGAGAAAGCGATTAGTTCCTAATATTTTGTCCACCAAATTAACCCAATCTCTTGAGTCTCTAACAAGATGTGCTCCGACAATGAAATTACAGTTTAGACCAAACTAGTTAATGATAGTTGACCTTCTACCATATGCAACATTCTGCTATATATATGGTTTAATAGTAAACTATAGACCTTTTTTTTGTGGGACCTCCATCATCAAATACTAAACATTAAACATCAACTCCTAAACACTTGACCTTTTTTTTTTTAGTAAATCCTAAACACTTGAACTTGAGTAGCACAGAGTGATCAACCACCCTTAACTACTAGTTGATGAAATCACTCCAATCTCTAGCTGTGGGGCTCTAAGAGTTATCGTATTGTGAAATCACAATCTCACTAGTATACTAATTTGACAATTTTAGTTTTGTCACATTAACTTGAGTAACAATGATCAACCACCCTGAATTGTTACTGAAATCACTTCAATCTCTAGATGCAAGGCACATCGCAACACATATCCTCGTTCTCAGTTTGTATCTATATACTTTATGTGTTCCAACTATTTTACTTTTGTCACATCACTTTAATATGTAGACATTGTTCAAAGCTAAACATGTTAAAAAAAAAAAAAAAAAAAAAAAAAAAAAAACATGAACAATGAGAAAATTGGGCTTTCTATCACTTCTCTATGATTTCATTTGGTGGGAATTAAGAAGTCATGATAAGTATCCAGTTGGGTACCACCCTAGCAATAATTTAGATTGAGGTAAACAACTAATTTAGTTCAAAGTGCACAAGGAGGCTAATGAATAATATTAAGTAGTAAATTAAGTTAGTGGCAAAATAATTAATGTAGGGAACACCCCAAGTCCAAAAAAAGCGGCACCTCATAAAAATTCACAAAAGGAACAAACCCCAAGTGACATGGGACAAGCTGCCTCTAACTGATAGTCTAATCTGCAGTACAAGGTTACCTTTGTCCCCCATTACTAGAGCACTCCTTAACCTCCAACAGGTATAAGCCCACATAAATTTCACTCTTTAGGCACTTTGCCTACTGACAAATTTTATGTGTACTGTATATCAAAACTTATCACCTCTAACCAAAACTCTTATCATATGCCCCCAGTTCTACGCCAAATATGCATCTTTACAACTTATATGGGGTCCACTTAACCAATGAGAAAGGGAATAATCAAGAGACCCTATAAGCGATTATGTACACAATTTCCTTGTCGCTGTCGTCATAGTCCTAATTCAAAGACGCACAAAAACATCCAATATTTAAAGTCCTTTCTTCCAAATATATCTCCATATTTGATCAGGAAAATCCACAAATGCCCCTAAAATTAAATTATTTTTTTACCCGTTCGGAGTTGAGTTTGTCATCCCTTCTCCCCTCATTTATTTAATTGGTTTCAAGCATAGTAAATGGCGCACATTCATATTCCATGAGAATAATATATAAATAAGATGAATAGACTAGCCATAGGCCCCTTTAGATTAGATATAGGCATAACGTGCAGTGTCAAATTGAAAAAAAGTTTGTGGGGTGAATAAATAAGTCTCTTGCTCTTAGATCAACATAAGTGACACTCAAACAAAAAAAAAGTGAATTTCTTGTGTTCATTCAATTCTTCATATAAAATAGCAGCAGTGAGTGCAGAAAATTCATTTACCTGATGGAACAAGCAGAGCTAGAGCCATGCCTTTCGGGCACATCGAGCACGATCTCAGCATCGCAAGAAGCTCTGCCACAAGAACGCCTGTACAGGTCACTGCATCAGCAACATAAAGCAAGCAAAGGAGCACAACAACTAGAAGATCAGGATGCAGAGCAAGAAACAGTATCTCAGACACAAATACCATTAGATTTAATGCTTTCTAATGAAGATTCATGTAATGAATTCAACGCGGAACTCAATCTGATCGACTGCATAAACGTAGGATCATCTCAGAGTTCGTCAGAATCTCCTCCCCAAGGATCAGAAAACTGCGAGCCTAGAGTATTCTCGTGCAACTACTGTCAGAGAAAATTCTACAGCTCGCAGGCGTTAGGTGGACACCAAAATGCTCATAAACGAGAGCGTACAATTGCAAAAAGAAACCAGAGAATAGGAGCAACAATCGCTGCGACTGCAGCAGCGTTTGGGTATCCTTACTTGCACCAGCACCACAATTACTCAAACATTGCTTCATTACCATTACATGGTTCTCCCAATAGATCTCTTGGAATTCAGGTACACTCAATGATCCATAAAACTCCTAATAATAATATGACAATGTCTTCTTCTGGAAATGTGTACGGACATCATGGGTGGTTAAGGTTACCTATCGAACAGCAACCCGCCGTAGGGAAGCTAGTGTCAGAGACCTACCATGGTAGTGTCACCGCAGGACCGTCGTCCAGAGGTGGACCTGGTAGGTTCAATATAGTGGATGAGGGTGTCACCAGTGGCGGCTGGTGGACTGGAGATACTCAGATTAAAAGTAATTCAGAAGAATCTACAAAGCTTGATCTATCCCTCAAGCTTTGAACTTTTTTTTCTTACAGGAATATTTTTCTTTTCTTATCTAGAATTAGGGGGTTTGCTACAATATGCTTGGAAAATTATTAGCTTAATTATTCTCTTTACTTCCTGGGATTATATCATGTAAATTTTCTAATGACAAAAGGTAAAAATGATTTTTCTTCCTTGAAAGTTTTTCAGCTTAATTTGGGTGTAGAAATAGTCATAAAAGCAATTATGTAGACAAAATTTAACTCCATGATGTTAACCAACTAATTTAGTTGACATCCGAATACACAGCTTATAAAAAAGTTAGAGTTAACTTCATGTTCATAATCTTGTAAACCAAAGACAGCCAAAATCTGCAAAACTATTCTTCAATGTTTCAGCTTAAGATTTCGTAAACAATCTAATTCATCCTGCTTTAAACTATAAGACAATAACTGACATACAAGGATGATAATGTACCACGAACTGTGAGCAAAGTGTCCCAATCAACTGTAGAACTCTAAGAAAAAAGCATTTAAAGTGGCATAGGAAGCAATATATTCAAATTCTATATGTTTAATTAATAATGCTATTATTAATAGAAGACAAGAGAGTAGAAACACCAAACCCAACATAAAATGCATTTGGCATTTTGCAAGTGATATCTAGTGAAAAATCTTCTACCAACTTTTCTAGAGTCTACTGTCTACTGTCTAGAGGTAGGCATCTGATAGAGTTATATAGCCTTCTGGATACTTGGCATCATGCCATAAACCATCAATCTATTTCCCCTACAGGGGATGGCTGCGGAGGCCAGTGGGCCGGGTTAGCCTGTCTCTAGTCATGGCCTGGCCCAGCCCCAGCTCGAACTGCAACCACCCCCACCCCCAAGCAAAGCAGCAGGTGGGTTGGGAGCAGGTTATCCACCACAGGCCTGGTTCAAACTAACTAACTATTGACAATTAAGAAGCCTGCCGGGACTGCCTCACCTCTCAACACGGCGTGTACAGTTGCTTCATATCGTGGTCATAATTCCCCTGACTGGCTTACTTACTACCTCTATGTAGAGGTATCTTACTTCATTCCATCGATTCATATAATCATCATAGCAGTGCTGATGATACAGAAACTCGAGCAACCTTATATGTGATCACATAAATAGAAATGCATACACACTATTAGAAGTGCTGTATAAAGAATTGAAGTTTAGACTTTCCAGCAGCCAATCAGCAACAAATCTATTGGTGCTAGTTTTCAAAGTAATAAGTAACGTAAACGACTACAAATGTCAGAGATCAAACCTCATTTATTTTCGTGCCACTGTCAGCTAATTATTGGTTTACAGATCTTAGGGGGCAAGTTGATATACTTGCAGACCGCTTATCTGCAACTTTACCGGATACACCCTACTGCAACTCTGCAAGTGGAGAAGTTAGCAGAGTCTAACAGGTCTTGAACACAGTCCATAAATTATTAGTTTACTACATTATGCAGTTAGTAGTTAAGAGAGTCACAAAGCAATACTTCAGTCTTCAGACCTTAAATTTGTACTTACTATCACCAAATATAAGCAACAATATCAATAGTTCACATAGAGATGGGCAGCGGGTTGGGCTAGCAGAGCTGGTGACCGGCCAACGAAGTAATAGAGCTACACGACACTATATTCATTTATAATAATAAACTGAGGCTAACTGGGTGGGGCTTATTTGGTCCACTAGGCCCGGTATCCAAATGGGCAATGTCCGACCTGGACCACAGACCACATCTAAGTTTCAATAAAAAATCCAATTAATCCGTATACAACTTTCAAGCTGCCTTGCTTCCACAACAAAGCTCTTATAGGAATTAGTATCGTGAATAGACAAAAACAATTAAACGGTACAGAGCTTCCGATGTCATAACTAGTGGGATGTCTGCAATTCTACATACCTTCCAATTCGTTGATTTCAAACTTAAAGCTGTAAAGATATTCTCAGCTTTCAGCTAATCCAACTAAATTGAAATCAACAACACAATGATCATCAACAATAATGAGGCTGGATACTAATATCAACTCTAGAAACAAACACTGAAATGTGACTAGCCCTTCATTATTGAAAGTGATTGAACAAAAAGAGAAATAAAGGACAATAAGCAGATTATAAAGAACAGAAGTTTTTTGTTTTTTGGAAAAAAAAATGAAATAGCAGAAGATTGTAACACAGGGTTTTACAGATCCAAAGATGAAATATAATGACTGCAAATCTGTAACTGTAGCACATTCAAAGATTTAAAATTCGATGTGATAAATATGAAGCCCAATCAATGGATGTAATAAATATGCAGCCCAATCAATCATAATTTTCCATTACAAGCCAACCTTTTTTCACATCTCTACTGCATTGTAAAGGTTTTATTAAGCAAACCGCAACTGTGATCTTAGGCTGCAAAGTAGCAAGCTAACTGCATTACTCGTAAAAAAGGTTTTTGCAAACATTATTGCGATCATGATCGTATCTGGGACTATATCCCTTAAACCAATTTAATTTCCCCAATTAAACCATCAAACTTCAGTCACTAAAATAGGCCCACGAATTCCACTTCCACCAAACCCAGGTAGAGAAAAAGTAAAACAACTAACCCATTCGAAATCTGGTTATAGGTTTAAGCTATGTTTAACATGCTAATAAACCTTCACCTGTTTAGTAAAGCTTCTGTACAGCATCAGGCAAATGATGCAATCATGCGACTAACATGCAGCCAAATGAAGAAAATTGTTGACCTTAGCATCCCAATAGTTCTAGTTCTATGCTTTTGTCACCCAATTTCTTATTTGACGAAAGCTAACATAGCAAATCTAGCCAGCAGGAAGAGACTGGTATTTGAAATAAACTCGTAGTCAAGATCCAAAAGGCAGTGTTAAACATCATGTACAATTCCGAGACACACACCAAGGTGTCATGAGCCAAACCAATGTGGAAGCAGCCTAATTAAGTCTCAAGTTAGCTATCATTATTCATTACCTAACACAATCATCTCCTAACAGCTTGTCAAGATGAGGAGTTAGAATCTAACTTAGATTTAGCATAACTGCCCTTGCTCATGTCATCACACCAATAATGAATTGATCTCAAAATATATCAATTTTGTCAACATTCAGCAAGCAAGCAATTCAAAAAAGAGAATAGAGCAAAATTGCATATTATGAACAATTATTATGTTAATGGAACATTCTATACCCCCTAAAATCTAAGTAAATTCAATGCCATTACCATACATCTGATCTTCCAAGGCTGCCAGAAAGGCACTCTACATTTCGACAAAACACTTGACAGTTTCTAACCATCTCAGGAGTTCGGTTCTATCCTTGTTGACCATGTAATGATGCAAGAAAACAGAAAGTTCACCATCCACTCCTCTTGCTTCCAAGTATTGATGAAGTGCCTTACGGAGTTTAGGGTCCAGTTTTCTGAAGTAATAAAACAATAATCATGTCAATTACAGAGAAAAGAGCTGTAGCCAAGCTAAAACAGTGGCTAGCACAGGCCTTTAGGTAATGCAGAAATCTTAAGTCACATTGCAATAAGATTCCTGGGGACAATGTATACTAGCCTATTATACAATCCAAAATTGTGTGCAACCAAGAGCTCAAAAAAAAAAAAAAAAAAAAAAAAAAAAAAAAAAAAAAACCACATTTTTTAAAGTCTCAAACTGGAATAGGGAGTAGAGTGCAATGAATATTGAGAAGATAAAAGCACTAATCATTAGCAAGATGTGCAATAGATTTCAAAAAACACACCCCAATCTTGAATACATAGATTAATTACATATATTTATTATCTCTGATGCTCGGTATACAATAATGTAAATTATTAATCTTTGGCAAACTTTGGTGGAGCTACTACTATTCCACATTTCCACTACTTTGAAAAATAATGAAAACAGGAAAATCTCAAAGAAAATGCTCATGATCATTGTAACCATCATAATTACAAAATCAAACACTATCATGCTAAGCACATGAAGCTGTTACGGCAAAGGAAGCAGTACCTTATATTAGGACCCATGTGAGCTTTAGGCAACAATTTGTTCCCATGAAGCATGTAGACTTTCATGATCTCCAAGCCATCTGGCCATGCAGAGCAAACAAATCCTAATCCATCAGATCCTTCTCCCTTATATATGTCAACCAGCAAGCTTATGTGAAGACGAGTATCTTCGCCGTCGGCATCATCCCCAGTTTTTGGGTCAGATACACAGCCATCGAACATTGTAGCCTCAATTTTGATATCTTCTTTTTCGCCGAATTTGCGTCGTAGCCTAACAAATTGCTCGCCTGGGCGGTCTTCAATTGAGAAGAAACTGAAACTTGCAGGAGGCTGCATATTCAGATAAAATAAGTTTAGATAGATAATAGCAGCCATTCTTACAACTGCAACAATGGAAAGAAGGTGAATGTACTAATGTGCTGTCCTTGGAAAATGAAAAGGTTTTTAGAATATTTTTAAAACTAATTTTGCCCAAGGTTTCTAACAGCTGAATGGGATGCCAGTAGATACACTGGCCCATGATTCATTATTCATTTTTCACATTCAACCCAAATAATGTCGAAAGTAACCTGATAAAAATTCATCAACATTATTCTCCTACTTTGCCCATGTCAAATTTTCCTTCCCAATGTGTTGCCAGATCAATTTCATACTTTGGTCAAAATGTGGCAATGACAAAAAAACCACAACATGCAACATGTGACAATCATACCTTAAAGGTCTATAGGTGATCATAGTGCTATCATATTACAAGATCATCCATCTTCATTTCAAAAAATCTGATACAAGCGAGGGAGCAAGATCATCCACCTTCATCTTAAAAATTCTAACACAAACAAGGGAAGGAGATAAACATAGTCTTAATACCAAAAAGGGGTCAGCTACATGAAGATGAATGTAGTCAAATGCATAAATTCTACCCCTTCATTCCTTTCCACTAACCATCAGGTGTTCTACGAGACCCAAAGCCTTTGTCCTTTTTAATACCTCAACACATGTCATCTCTGGCTTCCCTCAGTTTCTTTGTAGGTCAACAAAATTCCAAGTCTCTAATCCCCATACAGCCATACCAAGCATCCACCCCTCAACAATGGCCAGACTAACATAATCGACTTTCATTTCTTTTTTAGTGTGAATTTCAGCATTGTGGACTCTATGTTCCTTGTGTAACCACACATCCTCACGCAGCTCCAGTCACCCTCTTTATTTAAACAATCCTGATCACCCAATATTCTGATTGTTAAAAAATTTAAATAGGCTGGCCTAAGCAGTCCTATATGAATTTCATTTACTTTAAGAGACAAATTAGTCACCAAAAAATCTCCCATTGCTCCTCTCTATATATTTAGCCGTCACAAATCATATGAGTGACAGTTTGATCAACATCTCTAAGCTTTTGTAATTTGTACAATAGACCCTGGATACTAGAACGGCTATAAACACTAACATAGAGTTAATTATCCAATCCAACTTTGCTGTACTATGGTCTTTTTCTTTGTTGATAGTTTGATACTAAACTTAACTCCAACTACATAATCACTTGGTAATAAGTCCTTATCATAAAACCTCAAAATTTTAACTCTTGTCTGTAAAACTCCAATTTAGCATCGCATCCTGCTTTAGTTGCAAAAAAACACACATTTAAAACCACAACTCATGCCAACAGTTACATCCGCCTCTAAACCAATCCTACTTGAGCAGTCTAATTCCGGTAACCAGACCTCCAACTTAGACTCGATTCTGCTCTAATTGCAACCAAGAGCTGATATAACCAACTCTCACAGTCTCACACTAACAGTCACACCCATCATTCCATCCCCGCGCATTACTACTAGAAGCCCTATGATCCATCCAACCAACATTTAACATGTCCAATTCCATGGAAACTAAAGGAGATACCATCAACGTGTCTGACAGAAAAGATACTATAATCAGTAACATCACCCGTACTTCACCTAAACAGCACTACCTTACTCCATAAGGTCTCAGGTAAAGGGCACTCGATTCTGCTTATGTATCATTATCTTCTACTTCTATCACTCTTGTTAGACTTTGAACCGATTTTAGGTCTAGAAAGTCACTTCTTTCTCCCATTCCATAGTTCTCACAGCTACATTTTCAATAAAACATGAAATATTTACAAAAAATAAATAACGATGTGTTGTAATAAATTTCCAGAATCATCCATTTGTAATAAACCCATTTTCTATTACTCCCCTAAATCACATGAAATTATGATATATACTCTTTCACAAGTCACACCATCAAAATCATTCATTTATTCTGTAAAATTTCCAAAAACAATACCAATTGAAATAAAACCATCTAATGCAATCTTATTCAATAACCAATAATATCAACATTTCAAAGTTTTACCAATTGCAGAATAAAAAATTGAAATATTTGCATAATACCTCTTGAGGGGGAGCATATTCAGTCTGATATTCGACCTCAGTGCGAATAATTCGAATAATGTTGGAATCGAACGGTGATCGGAGCTTTGCCGCTTCAGAAGAGTAAGTTTGAATTTGTGTCGGAGAATCGAGGAAGCGTCGAAGAGGTAAACAAAGTCGGTTGCCGGAAAAGGGAGATGAAGAAGAAAGACATTTTCGGGATATTCTGAAGAGAGAAGCCATGAAAATTGGAATCTGTAGCAATATCGGGAGGTTGAAGAAGGGTTTTTGAATCTCAACTGCTATTTGTCGCTCCCAAATTACCAGGTAACACTCCCTTTTTGACTTGAATGGACCACTATGCCTTTTATGCAATTTGGGTTATAAAAAGGACCTTGTTCCCCATTTGGACACAATACATGAAACGGTCCCCTCACTTCACGACATTGCTGTCCCGAGCTTCCCGAAATCGGTCCCCACGACCTTGCAACCAAATCGGTCCCCACGACCACCTAAATTTTCTATTTTCAAAAATCGTTAAATTTTCCGACAGGTCTTGGGTCATGGACGGCGAGTGGAACATATGTACGCCGGAGAATGCGTCGGATCATTTTGTAAGTTTTTTTTTTCGGTAATTAGGACATCCGCCTAAAATTTTCGGATGTCCTAGGTACATCCGCCTAAAATTTCCGGATGTACCATGGAACATCCGGAAATTTCAAGCGGAAGATGGGATCCGCCTAAAAAATCCGGATGTTCCATGGTACATCCGGAAATTTCAGGCGGATGTACCTAGGACATCCGGAAATTTTAGGCGGATGTCCCTATTAATTTTATTTTTTTTTTAAATGTTAAGTAAGTTTATTTAAATTTTTTTATGTTTATTAAGTTTTTTTTTATGTATTTTTTTTTCGTGGTCTTGTGATTATTGTTGTGATTTAGTATTTGATAATTAATGTAATTTTGTTGTATTAATATGATTATTAGTAATATGTTTATTTTTTGTTTCATTATTATTATTATTATTTATATTATTATTATTATTATTATTATTATTATTATTATTATTATTATTATTATTATTGTTATTATTAGTAATATGTTGATATTATTGTTGTTGTTGTAGTTGATATTATTATTGTTGTTGTTGCTGTTATTTTTATTGTTGTTGTTGTTGTTGTTGATATTGTTATTATTAATTAGTAGAAATATAATTTTAATATTAATATTATTATTATTATTATTATTACTATTATTATTATTATTTATTTATTTATTAATGTTATGGTCTTATAAATTGTTTTGTAGTTGTTGTTATAATTTTTTATTATCATTAATTTTGTTATTGTTTTGTATTTGTTGTTATTATTATTAGTATTGTTATTAGTATTGTTATTATTATTATTATTATTATTATTATTATTAGTATTAGTATTGTTTTTATTATTTTTATTATTTTAATTATAATTATTATTATTATTTTTGTTTTTAAATTATTATTTTGACATAAAGCATGTTTTGTTTAATTTGTATAGGATATGGAATCTGAGGAAGGCGGTGACGGTGTGAATTATAGTGGGAATTTTGTCACCGATACGTTTTTTCCTACATTTGACGATGTTGTTACATGGGCTAATTGTGTTTCCATAAAATTGGGATTTATATTGGTGAAATCGTCTTATAACAAAACCAGAGATGGTCGGCCGTATCGGTATTTGCGATGTGATCGGTCACGAAGGAGCAAGCCGAGAGATTTGGAGAACGCGATACGGAAGGACACCAAAACCAAAGCTAATGGTTGTCCATTCTACATCAAGATATATTATGATGTCAGCACCGAAAGTTGGAAGATCATTGCGAAAAATGATCACACCGGGACACATAACCACCCAATGATTGTGTACCCAGAGGGTCACCGTAAAGTGAGCGGATTGAGTCCGGGTGCAAAACAGGTTGTGCGGGACATGACAAAGTCCAAGGTTGCTCCCCGTAACATCATGTCCACTATTGCCGAGAAATTTCCTGATGATCATCCAAACATCCGACACATTTACAATTGCCGAAATGACTTCAGGATGGAGATGTCCGAAGGAAGAGGAGTTGTTCAGCAATTTCTTCATCTGGCGAGAGAGAGTAAATACATTTACTGGTTCACGAACGATGATCACAACGTTTTGCAACATGCATTTATGGTGCACCCGATCATGGCAACATACTCCGCACATACCCACATGTCATAGGTATGGATTCTACTTACAAGACCAATCGATATAACATGCCTTTCTTTGAGATAGTAGGCGTGACACCGACAAACCAGAATTTCTAGTTGGATATGTTTTCATGCGCGACGAGTGCACGGCTAGCTATTGGTGGGTGTTGCAGAGATTAAGGGAGTTGATTGGGTTTGATAAAGAGCCATCTGTATTTATTTCAGACCGTGATCTTGGGCTATGTGCGGTTTGAGAGAAGTCTTTCCAGGGACGTCACATTTACTCTGTCTATGGCACATCAACAGAGATGTGGAGGCTAAGGTGACGAAGATGTTTGGAAACAAGACGGTTGGTGTCAGTTTTAGAGCTGGGAGATGGTTCAAAATCGTGAATGCAACCACACAGGCGGAGTATGATCGTGCTCTAACTGCCATGCAAGTGAGGTGGGGAAAATATCTGGAAGCGATTCAGTATGTTCAGAGAACTTGGCTTTGTCATAAGGAGAAATTTGTGAAATTTTGGACGAACTAGGTTCTTCATTTTGGTAACACCACCAACTGCAGAGTTGAGAGCCAACATTCAGCAGTGAAAACTTGGTTAGAATCATCCACAGGTTAGTTGTATTATTTTATTAGTTATTCTCGTTGTTACGTAATTGTAATTGTAATTGTATTTGAATTTACTAATTAGAATCATTGGCAGGTGCTTTGGATACCGTATGGGCCCGAGTCCATTGTCATATCGGTAATCACATCATACAAATTCGTAATGACTTGGAGGCATCAAGGTCTAAAATTGGTCAGATGTACAGACAGTTGCCACTGTCACGTATAAATAATCTAAAGTCCCATTTTTGACTTCCAATCAAATACAAGCTGCTCAGTCATTGTTCGAGTATCACTCGACATTTCAGAATACTCAGCTAGTGCTCTTTGGTGAATCTCCATGGACCGACCCATCCACTGCAAATCAAACAATAACATATTTTAAACTCAAAAATTCATATAAGTCATTGTTAATATAATAATAAGCATAAATACTTACGTAATCAGTGTTAGTCCGCTCAGGCAGGTTGCTTGTAACTCCTGCACCTGGAGATATCCGCGGGTGAGAAAACCTATACAGCCACTGCATGTAACCAGGCGCAACCGAAGGAGCTGCAGCACTAAGCCTGGGTAGGGCACCTAAAATAACACTCTGAGATACCCCAGGGACAAACCTGTTCCACATCACAGCTGTCATCTCAGTCGGGAAGTCTACCCGATACATCTTCAAGTTAGTCGCCCTCTTGGACTTCTCTGGCCTGATGATCTCGCGGGGAATGCCTTTCACGAAACCAAGCTGGCGCACCACTCTATCAGGCATGTACGGCTTAATGATGTTACGGTACTGGATGCAGCCAATGAATAAAGTGGGGGGCACTCGTAATGCAGGATCAGCTCCGTACGGTAGCCAGTTCACCTCACGGTCAGTAAGCGCATCAATCCTAGTACGAAAAGCTAACAGGCGCTCCAGGTTCTTGCTAGGACATCCCGCTCCTACATCCCAAGCAGACGCACGAGGCATTTGAAGGTCCCGGGTCAAGGTACCCTGTTGTGGCCGAAAGCACGGAAAGTACTCGTAAATCCACGCTTGCAGAAGCGTGAGACAACCAGCAATCGAATCAGCACCTTTCCGTGATGTCGTGCCCAGTTGCCGATACAAGTAGGCCAGTGCAGCTGTTCCCCAAGCATACTCGTTAATAGGGACATCCGTGTGACATAGCTCGTGGAGGAAGGAAGGATGCGTACGGTTACCACTCTTGTCTACAAACAGTGTACCTCCAAGCACTAACCACAAGTATGCATCAAGCTGCTCACTAAAATCCCGGTCGACCGCCAATGTCGACTCAAAAATCTTATCAGTCAACACCCCACTACCCTGCCAAATGGTCTTTGTGCCGCAAACCTCGGACAGATCATCTGGAGTCATATCCATGGTGACCGAGCACGCGTCCCGTAACACATCCGTGCTAGGAGTAGTGGACACCATATTGCCTGCAACCCGTAACCCAAGTATGTTGTACACGTCGTGCAGCAAGATCGTAATCTCCCCAAATGGCATGTGAAAGGTGTTCGTATCTGGCTACCACCTCTCAACAAAAGTAGAAATCAACGGCCAATCAAGTCTCTTAAACATCATGCCGGGCAAGTGAGACAACCAACTATCATCAATCGCCGCAATGTCCTCCACAGATTGACGGCCTCGCCAAGTGAACAAGTCAGAACATAAGTTTGTCCTACTCAAACAGCGCAAAACACTACGCTCCTGCTCCATCCAGATATACCGTGCCACGTGATCGCCAAAACTAGGGATAACTGACCCATCCTCAGGCCCACCCGGCATCGGTTCCTGCACTAACCATGCCTCTGCAGAGCTGGAAGTAGGCTGACTCAACCCACTACCAACAAATCTCCCAAACTGACCCCTATATACCATATGGAAATCCTGAGGGTCCTGTTCTTCATCCCGGTCACCAGCATGACTAGCCGAACATTCGTCTTCCTCGTCAGATATGGGTGCTCCACTTGCAGAGTACAAGGGCCGACTACTACCAGACTGTTGGTCTCTCGACCAACCACTAGTAGACCCGTATTGCTGCTGCTCGGGCTGAACCGGTGAAGATCGAGATGTCTGTCTCCTAACAGACGCATTCAGACGTCGTGATATTGCATGTCGAGCACCAGAACCCTCGATCTACATAAAATTAAAAAATAATCCGATTTTAGTAATAACAATAACAATAACCATAATAACAATAACAACAATAATAATAACAACAACAACAACAACAACAAATGTAACCTTAACAACAACAATAACTAACAACAACAACAACAACAAATACAAATTAACAACAACAACAATAACCATAATAACAATAATAATAACACTAATATCAACAACTATAATACTAATCATAATTAAAAATATTAATAATAGTACTACTAATAACACTAATAATAATATTATTATAACAACAACAAAAAAAAAATTAAACAACAACAATAACCATAAAAACCCTAATATCAAATTAGTTTAATAATAATACTAATCATATTTTTAAAAATAATAACACTAATAATAATAATAATAATAATAATAATAATAATAACAATAATAATAATAATAATATCAACAATAATAATAATAATACTAACTGTTTCGGGGTTTTCTGATGTCCTGCGGGAGAGTTACAATTCCGAGACTGGAACCGGACGCCTGTACCTGCAAAATAACGGAGACTCCTGAGAGCTCCGCCTCCAACGGTCAAGTTAGTACCTGATTAAGGAGTAATCAATACAGAAAATAAAGTAATCAGGTCTCTCTAGGTGAGAGTGCTTAGTGTTGGTAATCTGTGTTGTTAACGAGATTAGCCGGGTGTTAATAAGTCTGTTCTTCTCTGATTGATCTCTTAATTATTCGGTCCTTTTCTGTTGTGTGATTAATGAGGATTAATCGAGTATTTATAGCCTTGGGAAGCGTGCAACTCTCTAGGTTTAAGGTAAACCTAGGGCTGATCGGGCCTCTAGACTGAATTGGGCCTTGATGGCCGGTTGTCCCATTTGGCATGGGTGGACACGTGGCGTGTCTTAAGTGGTCCGTGGAGGACGAATCTGTGACTGACACGTGGCAAGCTCTTGTTGGCCTTCGTGAAGGACACGTGGCGGAACCTGGTTGGCCCACTTGTCAGACGGTGATTGGTGGATAAAAATCCCCTAATCATTTGCCCCTCACAGGTGGCACGCGACTGGTCACGTGTCGCCTGTGACAGGTGTCGCACGGTGACAGGCGACGGCCCGTTACAGGTGTCACCTTGCAGACGGCCGAGAGATTTTCCCGCCCATATTTGAATTCGGAAGCGACCCTTCGCCTTCTCATTTTGCCTATAAAAGGAAGTGCTGACTTCGGTCATTTTCACATTTGAGAACTTTTGCGAGAACATTCGGACCCCTGAACTTGCTCTGACATTTCGGACTTTTTCTGCCTACCGCCTGTTCTGACAAGCCGACTGACCCGAACTTTCAGGACTTCATCAACCGTCATCCGTTCAGGTAACTCAGTTCTCTTACTCTTAATTTTCTTTTTATTTTTTGAAATGGCACCATGGAAGCACACGACACGCCCTAAGTTAGTGATCAGCCGGTCACCGGGGACGGCTGAATCTAGGACTAGGAGTGCCGCCTGCCCTTTTCTGGACCCATCTTTGCCCTTTATACAAAGTCCGACTGAATCTGTGTCTATGCAGAACGTGATGGCCAGAACAAAAAAGACTGCTATGATATCAAACTCAGACGGCTCCTCCCAAAGGGTGCTCCTTAGCGAAACATCTGACCAGGCGCCAGATGTAGAACGAGGCGACTGTCAAGCTGACAATTCTGAGAGAGGGACCAAGGTGTTCCCTTCTCATCTAACCGTGGACATGTCTAATTTTCCTTCTGCTCCTTCTAAGGGAGAGGAGGCGGGCCCCTCTAGGAGAGGGGAGGAGTCGTCCTCTTCGGACTCGTCAGGGGACGAGTCCGATTCCAGCTCTTCTGACCATAGTTCTTCTGGCTCAGAAGAGAAACATAGCCGCCTACAAGAGGCGAGAAGTTCCCATGCAGTGGAGAAGGGGGATAATTGGGCAGAGTCGTCCGCCTCTTACAGAGAGGAAAACGCCCCCTACTACTGCAGGGTGCCCCGGGGCCGGATCGCAACCATGCGAGACAACGTGGCGAGCTTTATTGCTAACCACAAAATGGGCTCAGAGTATTTACTGTTTGTGCCGGATCCAGAAGATACTGTCGTCTGGCCGGCTGGTACCAGCTATGGTGACGGCTGCTTTGGCTGCTATGTGGCGGCCATCAAAGCTGGACTGCGCTTCCCATTACATCCGGCTGTTCAGCGGATTTTAGATGGGTATGATCTGGGGTTATGGCAGTTAGCCCCCAACTCTTGGGTTAACGTACTCGGCTATGTGGCCGGGTGCGAACTGAACGGGGTGGAGCCAA